ATAGGTGGTGTCACGAACTGGGAGGGCTAGCAGTTATACAATGTCAATTTAACTCAGAGTCGTGAACATGAATTCAAAAATGAATGACCTACTAAAGACATTGTCTAAAGATTTAAGTAATCTTCTCGATGAGGAAGAAGAATATAACGTTTTAATCACTGCTGGTACTGATGACAACGCCAAAACTTTCAAAGCTCACACCGTAATCTTACGTTCTCGTTCTGCTTATTTTCGTAATGCATTATCGAATATTTGGGCAAGAAAAGAATCAAATTATATTGTATTTACTAAGCCAAATATTTCTCCGGATGCATTTGATGTTATTTTGAAGTGAGTATAAAATATTAAGCGTTTATAAGTGAATATTCATTAATTTTAAAAAATTCTTTTCAAAGATATATTTATGGTGCGACTATTGATCTACCAGCAATCGATATGCCAATACTTCTTGAAATTTTAATTGCCACTGACGAGCTTTGTCTCACAGAGTTAGCCGGTTACATCATAGATTACCTTTTTGCCCATCATGTACAATGGATGCTAGAGAATTTTATTTCAATTCTTCAAACAGCTTCTCTTAATGATTCATTTAAGCATCTCCAGCTATTTTGTATGGAAATTATTCAAAATAAACCAAATGTAGTATTCAAAGCCAAGGATTTTGTGGACATTGGTACCAGTTTGCTAACTACTTTGTTAGAACGTAGTAACTTACTCATGCCAGAAATTGACGTTTGGGATGCTCTTATCAAATGGGGAATGTTCAATACATCTCCTCCTCTAGATCCGAATTATAAAACTTGGCCAAAAGATTCTTTTGAAAAATTACAAGAAACTTTAATTCAATTTATTCCTCTTATTAACTTTACCGTAATTTCTTCAAGCGATTTTTATCATAAGATCTTACCATTTCAACTTGTACTTCCCACTGACTTATTCAAAGATTTACTTAAATTTCATTTAGTACCTCAAATTACTCCATCTCATCCAGCTTTACTTTCTCCAAAAAGAAATCAATTACTTCAATCAATCTTTATTAATAATACTCATACTGCTTGGATAATGAGTCAAGTTGATTCCAAGCTTTACAATGGAAATAATCAAAAACTATTTCCTTATGATCTTAAATTATTAATACGTGGTAGTAATGGTGGTATGTCTGATGAAGCCTTTCATATGTATTGTGATCAGAAAGGTCCTACTATTACTATAATCAAAGTTAAAGATATGGATGAAATTTTGGGTGGATATAATCCCATTTCTTGGGATTCCGAAGTAAAATGGGCTGAAACTTATTCAAGTTTTATATTTTCTTTAAATATGACAGATGTTAATAAATCTATTATTAGTATAGTAATGAATCCTAGCAAAGCAATTAGAAATACTCATGGTCCTTCATTTGGTGATGGTGATTTGTGGGTAAAAGTTTCAACCAATTTTACCAAAACTATGGCCCTTCCTAGTTTTTGTAGGCAGAAAAGTTATACCAAAAAAATTCTTGATTTGGATAAATTTTTTGTGGAGGATTATGAAGTATTTCAGATTATTAAAAAGACAAATGTTATTTATTTATAATGACTCTTCATAATTATCATTATTCATTAGCAAATTATTAAACACTATAATAAAGGAAATCCATTATATTTTGTTGCAAGAATTAATTCAGTCCTAAAAACGATATTTCAACAAATCCCGGAAACTAATGAACATATGTATCATACTTTATCGGACGATATGCGCCTAACCTTTTCAAATAATTACAGTATTTACAGTATTAGATTAATACTTGTTAAAAATCATGTATCTATAAACGATACTTTATGTAAAATGTAATTGCGAATGTTTGTTAATTAAAACGTTTCGTTCACGACCACGATAAGTATAATGTAATAAATCTTGCCCTTAATGATATATTAAAATATGGATTCACGCTAATACATGAATGGCAAAGATGTAATACTGTATCGTCGCTCATACGCGATTATTACGATTCACAAATACAATATGGATTTTATGCATATTAAAAATCGCCCATCTCTAGAAGAGCAATTCCTTAACACGGTATATACAGTAATTCTAATTCTAAATCAGCTCAATGCTAAATCGGGCCATTGTTAATTGTCGGGGAAAGAGTGCAACCAAATGTCCTGTTAGAATTATCTTGTCAAAGAAAATGATTGTCGAACATGTAATGTTGAATATATGTGTCGAAAAATGTGCTCTAGGTGAAATAGTATGTCGGCAATAAGGTATCGGGGAACTACGTTCAGGAATTGTGACAACGTGTAAAAACCTAAATATCGATAAGTTTTTGGAAGTTTACATTTCGTAAAAAACTTTGAGTTTACGCTAAATAACTCTTACGTATTATAAATACTCTATCTTTTTATTTGCTTATTATAAATTCTGGAACAGTTGATCGATAAGTTATTGACTCGGCAACTTATTGATTCCAACTCAATGACTTATCGATTTGGGGGCAGAATTTATGAAAATGTTCTACGCATCCGAATAACGGTTTATGAAAATGAGTAACTTCATTTTCAGTCAATTATACTATTAATTACCATCAACAACAGTACTTCCTTCGTTTGAAGATGTATCTTCTCTTTGTTCTAAAATTGTTCTTGATCCAGCACTTGGATCATTAGCCTATCAATCGAAATATATTTTAGAAAAGAAAATTTTGAGATATAAAATTTTGTAAATCTAAACAATATAAAAAATATGGTTACCTCAAAGATAGCAATACAGAATTCACTAAGTGGTTTTATACACCATCTGGTAAGAGACCGAAAACCAGTAAACCACCCAAGGTGACCGCCATAACGTGTGGTAGCCAAAATACAATTTGGATTATATCTTAAATATGTTGTTTAAATAAAGTTAGCTATCTGCTATTAATAGTAAACTTAGTATCATAATTTATTAGAAATTAAACGTACATTATCTCATCAAAAGGGAGACAATCAACAGGTACAATAGGATCATCTTCGGCATTAAGGCACAATAAAGGCACACGCACTTTAGTAATATAAAAGTAAGAACTAGCATCTCGATAGTAGTGATCCACAGTTTCAAAACCAAAACATTTAGATGTCAGGCGGGAATCAAATTCACGAAGTGAATAAGACTTATCAAAATTATTGTTAATTTAAAAAATATTATCAAAAAAAAAAAAGATGGAAACGCAATTGTGAATAGGGACATACCGACATGGCATGAGGAATACTAATCCTATTATCTTGTTTCATAATATGCTCGTGTCTTTTAAGACAGATTTTAAGATTATTTGCCATAGATGGTGAATATACGTATTTTCCTAAATATGTTCGTGATAAAGCCTTGCTTCCCCTGCAGATATAATCAGAATTGAAGCATAATAGGAAAAATATCTAAGGTTAATTTTAAAGAAATACAAACCCAACGAGTTCAAACGGATTACCAACAGATACGGCCGCAATTAATGGAGCGTTTTCACCTTCCTCACCAAGATACTAGAATCATATATATATAAAGTATTCGCATAAAGATATCAGAGTCCGATGATACTTAAAAAACATGAATTGGCAAAATTATAATTTGGAATATTTGCCTTGATCAAAATGTTAGCACCCATACTAAATCCAACAGCAATCAACGGTGAATCCGGAATACATTTTTGAACATATCGCAAACAAGTTCGCAAATCATCAGTAACCCCAGCCGAATAAAGCCTAGGAGAAGTAATTTGTGATTCTGCACATCCACGAAAATTAATTACAACCGCACGATAGTTATTAGGCGGAGTTATAAGAACTTCAAGTAAGCATCTAATGTAGGATTCATGACTCCCTTTTATTTTATAAAACAAATATTTAGATAGAGGCTAAGAGAAATAATGTATTTATAAGATCTTATTTCACCTCCAGTTAATCCGTGTAATACAACTATTGTCGGAGTATTATCAAAAGGTTTTTGAGATACTGGAGGAGTCCAATCAACAGCGATTTGACCACCATCCGGCGTTTCTACAAATTGCCTACATGCAATATCGCAATCGATCAAAATTATAGACTAAAATAATTTGAGTTTTCTTTTAAATTTGATTAATTACCTTTCGTAATTAATCAAATGAATCCCACTAAAATTTGCATAGGCTGCATAAGCAGTTTGAAGATGTCCATTTGGAAGCCAAAGAGTAGGGTAATAGACTGCATTTTTTCCCACAAGGGATGGACATTTTTCTGAAACGTAATCAAGTAATTTAATTTCTCTGATTTCCTTAGTTTCTTTGTCTCGAACATTAATTTTTACACTTTCAGTATTGCTATGTATTTTCACAGGACAACCGAGAAATGGAAACATTTTAAAATTAAACAAAAGAAGGGGAGCGTCTTTAAAATGCTTATTAACTTATATAGAATATATATGCAGTAATGTTGGGAACAATAGTTTATTGTTTGTTAATACATTATTTTCACATGCTATTCATAAGTTATAGTATTAACTGATTTATTAAGTTTTATTATTTTTAAATTTGAATTAAATTTCTTACTATATTAAACACTTGTATGCAGGATAATTTTGTTTGCACTAAATTGACTTTTTGTATCACTCAACACATCAAGATTAGGCCCCAAAATTTGGCATGTCCCTTGAATAAAGCACTAGCACCACTATTCATATGGGCGAAAATCTCAATTTTACGCTAAGGGAAACCAGACTTTAGGCTTACAGGTTTATTTCTTGTCGAACTCAATTACTATAAGTTCTGATATACTTAGTCTGATAAATAAACTTCAAAGCCCGAAATCTGATTTCTCTTACAAATTTAAGAGGGTTGTGTTACGATTTCAAATTATTTTTTTTTTACTTAAAAGCTTCTGTAACTTACAGTAGATTTCATACAATTTTCTTATGATGAATAAATTAACTGCATTATACTATCGCAATTCAAATTCCAGATTAATATCCTTGGCTTTCTAAAGAATTCGGATTCAGATTAATTTTATTATTGGGATCTATATTTTTATTTGATAGTCCAGAATTTATATAGCGCTTTGCAAAAAGGTGTGGCTTCATGATTTTTGTGTTAATGTTGGGAAATTTTTTAATTGAGAATCTAAATAAAAAATTTAACCGATTTCAAGTATGATTGCAAATTAGTACATAGATTCTTTATTAAATTCTCTTATTAGATTCTCTATTAAAAATTTTCCTCAAACCATCAACTCCTGGGGTCACACCTAGGGTTGGAAAATTACCGTAATTTTACGTAATTTTGCGTAAGTTTGTGCAAGTTTCTGAAATCCAAATTACATGTAATTTTTATCAAATGAATAATTTTTGCAAAAATTTTTATAACGTTGGCATTAAAAATAAATAAAAACTACATGAAACGTAACAAAACAGCAATAAATTTATTCCACCATAATTAATTATATAACAAATTATTAAAATTAAATATTCTAAACTAATTCTAGTTCCGTCCATATGGTGGAATAGCAAATTTTCATGGTGGAAATAGGCGTTCCCTAAAATTATTGTTAGTTTAGCTATTATATTTACAACTTACAGCATTATAGGCATTACGGCATTACGACATTGCCGCATACGGCATTACGATTACGGCAGATATTCTGAAAATGTATTTACGGCATTACGGCATTTTGCGGCAACTATAGGCACCACTGTTACGAAAATTTTTATGTTTCCCGAATGTAATAGAAACTTCTATTTGTTCTATTAGTTTAGAGTTGTAGACTGTGTCGGGTTTGAGACCCTAGACCTAGGGTTTGAGACCTTGTCTTCCGGGTGTAAGACCCGCGGAACAGGGTCTGAAACCCTGAAGGCAGGGCTCGAGA